TTCTTCTTATCAACGAGCACTAAACCATTAACCCAACTTGTTGGTTCCTGAACTTTGGAAATAACACCAAGGGATTCTATACGATCCAATTCAACCCTGTTGTACTTTACGACAAGGTTCTACCACTGGAGACACAGAGTCATCTATATTAATTTTATGATAACCTGGAAGACATCCTAAGCCTTTAAAAACCTCACTACGGTAAATCTTTAGTTTCTGTACTCACATCAGCATTTAAATGTAACACAAGCTTTATTAGGTTTAGTTTTCACATTCCTTTAAAACTAAAATTGACTGAACTTGTCCACTAGTTACAACAGCCAACAAGTTTACAGATCAGTTTTTGTATCTAAATTTTACAACACATTGACCTAATACAGGAATATTATGACCTGCAAACGCTGTTAATTTCTTTCGGAATGGTTTTAACTTTGGTTTGTTCATAATGGCATTATAAAAACAGTAATTCCATTATTGAAAACTTCATGGACCTTACGATCATTTCCATTAGGCTTATGTTTTGAACTTCTACACCATTTACAGAAATATCCCATTTTATTACAATTATAACAGGTAATGTTACTAGCTGGACACGGTGAAGATTCATGATTTTTACCACAACCAGAACATGCAATAGACTGTTTCTTTCTTGTATCAAATTATCACAATTAACTGCTTTAATTTCCTCAGTTTCTGCACCAATTTCTTCAATCTGCTTCTTAGATGCTCCTTCAGCTCTACACATTTGAATTTCTTTCTCCATTGACAATGTATCTTCTTTTACCAAACTATTATTAAATACCACTAAATAATTCTGTCTTTTCAACCACTTCTGAGACCACCAAATTCACAAGTCTTAGCTCTTTTCATTAATTCAAATACAAAATGATCAGCACTTTCACCCTGCTTTTGACCACAAGTGAAAAATTTATATCTTTCAAAAAATATGTTTGAATTAATTTTCAAACTTTTCTTTAATCTTGTTAAGTTTATTTTCATCACCATCATTTTCCCACATAAAACCATTATAAGTCTCAAGGGATTCATTCTTCAACAACATGAAGAAAGATTGCTGACTTCACCTTTTCAGGGTAGTGGATATTTACCAAGGGCCGTGGTAAATAGCCTGTCACTGCAGGTGCATTCCACGGTAACTGACGCAACATTCAGAAAAACATTTGACATGTACTTTTTTAATTTTTTTAACTACTAATCAGTGAAAGTTACAAATTCCTTTGTGATTGAAATACGTGGCCTGTGTCCTATTCATACAGAAGAATTTTTCTCAGCATGTGATCTTGTAGAAGCTACAACTACAACTGAAGTGTGGTAACTGACGCAATGCCAGAGACTGATAATTTGTTTACATACCTTTGAAAAGGCCATAGTTCTCTGGGCGTTGATGTGAGATTGTGTTGTTGTTATAAAACTGTGCGACTGTGGTCTCAAGG